TGCTTTGTTCCTCATGGCTTGTCCAGTCTACTTTCTTTCTTTTTTTTTATTTTTACTTTTAATTATATTTATTCATTTAGTCGTGTGTACGTGCACATATGTGTGGGCACGCTAGTGCCACTCACGCAGGTGCAGGTCAGAGGATAACTTATTTTGGTTGTTTTTTTCTTCCTCCACATGGGTCCCCAGGACCAGACTCAGGCCTATTTCTTATACAATCCTGGTCACTTGCCCAGTGATGGCATCTCAAGTGGGTTGGTCACAATCATTTATAAGAAAATGTTCTTCAGTCTTCCCTGCAGGCCAACCTTACTTTTCAGTTAAGATTCCCTTGTTCTAGATACATCTAGGTTTTTCTCAAGCTGACAATCAAACAATAACAACAACAACAACAACAAAAAAAAAACCCAACCTGTACATGCAGACAAAACACTCATACAAAATTAAAGTTACAATTTGAGGGGCTGGAGAAATGGCTTATCTGTTAAAGGTATCTACTATTTAGTTTGATGAGCTAAGTCTTATTCTGGGAACCACATGGTAAAAGACAAACATTTCTACAGCCATCCTCTGATCTATTCTCTCTCTCTCTCTCTCTCAAAAAATTAAAAAAAAAAGCACAATTTGTGACTACTTACTGAACTTAGTCATTTGTGAGGTATGAGTTTTCTCCCAAGATTCTCAGATTTCAGCTTTAAAAACTATCTCAGTTTAATCAAGAAACTAATAAAGAATAAATTCAGAATCACAGAAAGGCCAAAGAATAAGTAAAGAGCATTCTCTGATAACTCTTCAATACTGATTCAAAGGAACCATTTTTAGGAAGATGAATAACTCAGCATTTCCCAGGAAGTATACAGTATAAAAGATATACAATGTTTGGCTTTATGGTTCTAGATGGATGAGCATTCATTACAGTGGGCAAGAGTGACATTATATGGCAGGCCTGGTGGGAGGAGCAGGAAGCTGAGAGCTTACATCTTTAACGGCAAGCAGAAGCAGAGAGAACAAACTGGAAAGGGTGTGAGACTCTAAAAACTTTCCCCAAGTGAAGCATTTTCTCCAGCAAGGCTATACTACCTAAACTTCCCCCAAGCAGAACCACCACCCGGAACCAAATGCTCAAATACCCGAGGCTATGGGGCGCATTCCTTGTTCAAACCACCACTCCCTGTCCCCTATGGACTCACAGTCATATCATAATGTAAAAATGAATTTAGTCCAATTTTAAGTCAGCATAGACTTTCAACGTTTCAACATTATTTAAAAGTCTAAGGTCTCTTATAAAAATCTCAGAAGAATCTCTTAATTGTAACCTCTTGTAAAATCAAAACATAAATTATATGCTTTTGATATACATTGGCACAGAATAACATTTCCATTCCAAAAACAAGAAAAGGGGGCATAGTTAGAAAATACTGAACTAAAGCAAGACTGAACCCCAGCAGGGAAAACGTCAAATCCTTTAGCTCTATGTCTGATGTTGTTAACTTTAATTTCAAAAGGCTTAGATGGCTCTGCCCTTCTAGCTTTGCAGCCTGTAACATATCTCTCTCTGTTTAGGATGGTTTTACTTCCTGTATGCAGCTCTCCCTGGCAGATGCCCTATGGCTATGGCATCTCTAACAGCTTGGGCTTTCCACTCCAAATCAGACTTCACTTTCTCAGCTTCATGCAGACCACAAGCTGTCTGGCCTTAGAAGCTCTCTAAAGTCAGGGAGGGAGAACCCATGATCCTTTACTCTTATAACCTTCATGCCTCTAAAGTAAACACCCCATGGACATCATTGCCAAGTTTGGCTGCCAGTTTGGGATGGGCCCTGGTCCCCTTAATTACATTAAGTAGCAGCCTTTTTTTTTTTTTTTTTTTTTTTAAGTTTTTCGAGACAGGGTTTCTCTGTAGCTTTGGAGCCTGTCCTGGCACTAGCTCTTGTAGACCAGGCTGGCCTAGAACTCACAGAGATCTGCCTGCCTCTGCCTCCCTAGTGCTGGGATTAAAGGAGTAGCAGACTTTTTTAAAAGCAGAAAAGGCCTTAGGTCCTCTTTCACAAGTCTGAAGTTTAGCTGGGTAGAGTCTTGCCCGAGGGCACCCTTCCCTTTATTATAGGGCAGAGCTGGCCTCTCCTTAATGGCATTAACTTCCTTAACTCTTTCAATACAAACCTTGGCTGCATCATTAAATTATTTGGTTCACTTTAAACTGTACATTTTGCATTTATTTCTGCTCTGCTTGCTGATGTTAATCGCAGACCTGCATAAGAGTTACCAATATCAAGTCCAAATGGATCAAAGACCTCAACATAAAGCCAGCCACACTGAGCCTTATAGAAGAGAAAGTGGGAAGTACACTTGAATGCATTGGTACAGGGAACCACTTCCTAAATATAACCCCAGCAGCACAGACACTGAGAGAAACAATAAATAGGACCTCCTGAAACTGAAAAGCTCTGTAAAGCAAAGGACATGGTCAACAAGACAAAACGACAGCCTACAGAATGGGGAAAAATCTTCACTAACCCCACATCAGACAGAGGTCTGATCTCCAAAACATACAAAGAACTCAAGAAATTGGACACCAAAAGAACATATAATCCAATAAAAAAAAAATGGAGTATAGACCTAAACAGAGAACTCTCAACAGAGGAATCTAAAATGGCTGAAAGACACTTAAGGAAATGTTCAACATCCTTAGTCATCAGAGAACTGCAAATCAAAGCAACTCTGAGATTCCATCTTACACCTGTAAGAATGGCCAAGATCAAAAACACTGATGACAACTTATGCTGGAGAGGTTGTGGGGAAGAGGGAACACTTTTGCATTGCTGGTGGGAATGTTAGCTGGTACAACCCCTTTGGATGTCAGTGTGGCGATTTCTCAGAAAATTAGGAAACAACCTTCCTCAAGACCCAATAATACCACTTTTGGGTATATATCCAAAGGATGCTCAATCGTGCCACAAGGACATGTGTTCAACTATGTTCATAGCAGCTTAGTTTGTCATAGCCAGAACCTGTAAACAACCTAAATGCCCCTCAATCGAAGAACGGATAAGGAAAATGTGTTACATTTACACAATTGAGTACTTACTACACAGCAAAAAAAATAACGATAGCTTGAATTTTGCAGGAAAATGGATGGAGCTAGAAAACATAATTTTGATTGAGGTAACCCTCACCCAGAAAGACAGTTATCACATGTACTCACTCATAGGTGGTTTTTAAACATAAAGCAAAGAAAACCAGTCTGACAAACCACAATCCCGGAGAACTTAGACGACTATGAGGACACTAAGAGAGACTTACACAGATATAATCTACATGGGAAGTAGAAAGTATAAAAAGACATCTCCTGAGTAAATTGGAAGCATGGGGATCTTGGGGGAGGACTGAAGAGGAAGGGGAGAGGCAGGGAGGGGAGCAGAGAAAAATGTAGAGCTCAATAAATATCAATTAAAAAATAGGTAACTCTTCTTACTTGCAAAAAAATTTTTTTAAAAGCTATCAATAACAACAATGCCAGATTCAATATTACATTGCTTTGAAATTGTCAAAGAAATTAGTCTATTACCTTAAATTTAGATTCATGCAAGTTGTTAGGACAACTTTTCTGCTGTGATAAAACACCATGATTAAGGCAGGTAGCAGGGATAAGAAACTGAGAGCTCACATGTTCCATGGCAAGTAGGAAGCAGAGAGAAAGCTGGAAATGATACAAGGCTTTTAATCTCAAAAGCTCACCCCAGTAACACACTTTCTCCAGCAAAGCTGTACCACCTAAACTTCCTCAAACAGAACTGCCAAGTGGAGACCAAATGTTAAGATACCTGAGAACCTTAAGGTCAATTTTCATTCAACCACTACACCCATTTACTTTGTTTTCTATATAAAGTTTTACTTCATAAATAAAAGATGAGTAATGTACACAGAAAAACCAGACTTTGCTCTAATTACCTGGAAGGCATATTTATCTTTTGAGGGTGACAAGAATTTATGATACCTAGAATACAGGACAATAAATATGCATAGAGTAAAAAATGGAATGGATTTTTTTTCTGTCACATTTTGAAAAAGAATTCACAAATAACAATGGAAAAAAAGTCTCCTGAATAATTTGAAAAACAAAACCATTTCAAATGAAGCAGTCCCAGAATATATCTTGGCATTGTTACTGGTTTGTGTCATCTTCAATGCAGTAATGATGTTTAAAAATGATATACTATGCTATAAGATCCTGAATCAAAGACTCAATTTATTTCAAACATACTCTTTGGGTGTTTTTTTTTTTCTTTTTCTTGTTTCTTTGGGTTTTTTTTTTTTTTTTGATAGGATCTTGCTATGTACCCCAAGCTGATCTACAACTTGGGATCTTCCCAAGTGCTAATATTACAAATATACATCATGATACTTGGAATGAATGATTTTTCATAAAACAATTAAATAGTTTTGGGATATAATTACATACATAGCAAAATGAAGTATATAAAATATATTTTAATAAGTATAAGTATGTATAGTTAATATAAATTAGACATTTAGGCTTTTTTTGTTCTAAAATGGAGGCTTTTAGAATTATATTATTTCTTTTTTCTAAGATCGTCTTTCTATGCTGTCTAAGTTGGCTTTAAACTTCTAGGTTTAAGTGGTTTTCTGTTTAGTCTCCTTCATAGCTAGGGCACTGTATTTTAATACAAATTTAAAGTTCAGTCAGGATTGTGCAGACTTCTTGTTCATGACTTCAGTTCATTCTTTGTTTTCAAAAAGAAGTCTGAATAGTCAAGAATAGACCTAATGCAATAACTGCTGGCCTCATTACCCACTGGCTTCAAAACTCTTTACCTCTGAGTTATTTCCCCATAGTTTTAAATATGGTCATAGACATAACAGCACTATACAGTCAGTATATATTTTTCAGTTTTTAAGGATAATTTTTAGACCCAAAAAATGTGTTCAAACAGTTAAAGTTACAATTAATGTCCTCAATAAAGGATACTACATTTTACCTTTGTAAAAATGGCCAGAGGCATGCCATATTGATCCTCTTCCAAACCAGAAATGAGTCCTGGTATAAGGACTACCTGCCTGGTGTTAGCTTGAGGTTGTACAGTAATTGGAGCACTGTCTGAGGGCACAGAGTCTTTCTGAAATAAGTTTGTCTGGTCTGACCTCATCTGTTCCTTTTCTTTCAAAGATGAGTCCTCTAAAACACTAGGATCCAAAGTTTCCCAGTCACTTTCTGAAGACTCTGGAGATGGACGAGGTGGGAGTTTCAAATAGCGGCCAGTATCATTGGGTTCCTGCTCTTTGTTGTTGTTGTCTTCTACTTGGAAGCAACGCTGCTCCGTATGAAGGACAGTGTCTCCTCCATGGTTTCCTGAAATGATTTTTGTGACAGTTCCCATGCTGGTATTTGAAATATCAGAAGTTGATCCAGAAATAAAATCATCTACAGGGTGATTACTTTCCTGAAGCCCAACATCTTCAGACATACTCTTTCGGGGTCTATACTGAGAACAGTCACTGAGTCCATGTTCAATCATTCCTAAAATATAAAATATTGAAGAACAGCTTGGATTCTAGTAATATAGAAGAAAGTAAGAGGTGTATATTATGCCCCCCCCCCTTCCCAAGACAAGGTTTCTCTATAGCTTTGGTGGCTGTCCTGGAACTAGCTCTCGTAGACCAGGTTGACCTTGAACTCACAGAGATCCCCCCACTTCTGCCTCCCAAGTGCTGGGATTAAAGGCATGAGCCACCACCACCCAGCTATATTATGTTTTACAGAATGGAAATCTATAAATTTTTTTCAAAAGCTGTACTGCCCCCGTTTTAATAGAAATTTCTATTACAAAAGGAAAGCTGGGTGTGGTAGTACATGAATTAATCCCAGCACTTGTTAGGCAGAGGCAGGCAGATCTCTGAGTTTGAGGCTGGCCTGGTCTACAAAGTGGGTTCGAAGATAGCCAGGACTACATAGAGAAATTCTATCTTGGGGAAAAGGAAAAACAAACAAACAAAAAAAGAGGTTAAGATGAGCGCCAAGATTAAGGATGCTTGCTGCCAAGTCTGAATACCCAGATTCGATACCACAACGCATACACAGTGGAAGAAGGGAAGACCCTCACCAGTTGTCCTCTGACCACCAGCATGCCATGGCTTATAAATACCTCCCCTCCCTGCGATAAATACTAAATAAAATTTTTTAAAAACTGGGCTTATTGCGGGATATTTGATCACACTGTATGAAGATGTGTCACTGTTTGACCTCACCTGCCTAAGACACCTTCTGATTGGCAGACGGTGAGCAGACGAGGTCCACGGGCTAACTGTGAGCCTAGTCCTGTCCCTGAAGACCACCCCGTGTGGGGAGGGGAGAGTGTTCTTGGCCAGCACAGAACACAGGAAACGGAGTGGGGGCATTCCCTGACCACCTTGACCCCCCCCCCCCCGTTAGCCTGTGAGGGCTGGTACCCTCTGCTGGGGCTGCTCCTCCTCTGCTGAGACCTCTCTCTCCCTGGCATATCCCAGCTTGCGCCCAGGGCCCTCCTTCACTCCCCCTCCCTTGCGCAGGGCTGCGGGATCACCAAGGTTAGCCTGTTTGGGCGCTGGATAGGGAGCTCGGGGCAGAGGGCAGTGGGAGTTCCTCTGTTTTGGTGGCTGGCCTGCAGAGGGGTAGGCCTTTTGTTGGCGAGATCCCTGGCAAACGGGGAGCCTGGTCCTGGTCCTGAAGACCCTTCTGAATAGTGAAAGAGATCTTGGCCAGTGGCAGGACCCAAGAAACAGAGAGAAGGCATTTTGTAAGCGGGCCCCCTGGCCAGCAGGAAAACCCATTCCTGTTTTAAAAGACATATTAGATAGCATCTATAGGAGGAGATGGGCAGGCGCCAAGGCAAGAATTCACCCAACAATCTGAAAAACAACATGAAAACACCAGAACCCAATGATCTTACAACAGAAGGACTTGAACACCCTAACACAGAAGAAGTGGAAAAATTGACTTTATGAAAGCAATAGAGTCCCTTAAACAACATGTAAAAAAAGCCCTTATAGAATTGGATGAGAAGTATAACAAAAAGTTTGAAGAAATGAGTAAATACGTACAAGATACCCTGGGAAGCCAAGAAATAACGATCAAACAGGTAACAGAAACAGTTCAAGAATTGAAAAGGGAAATGGAAGCAAGGAAGAAAACACAAACTGAGGACCAACTGGATATGGAAAATCTAGGTCAACGAGCAGAGTCTACAGAAACAAGCATAATCAATAGAATACAAGAGATAGAAGAAAGAATCTCAGATTCTGAGGACACCATAGAGAAAATAAATGCACTGATCAAAGAAAACAGCAAACCCAACAAATACTCATCACAAAACATTCAGGAAATATGGGACACAATAAAAAGACCAAACCTAAGAATACTAGGAATAGAAGAAGAAGAGTCACAGCTCAAAGCCCCAGAAAATATTTTTAACAAAATTATGGAAGAAAACTTTCCCAACATAAAGAAAGATATTCCTTTGAATATTCAAGAAGCATACAGAACACCAAACAGACTGGATCAAAGAAAAACATCCCCTCACCATATAATAACCAAAACACAAAATATACAGGTTAAAGAAAGAATATTAAGAGCTGCAAAGGAAAAGGGGCAAGTAACTTATAAAGGTAAACCGATCAGACTTACACCTGACTTCTCTATGGAAACCATGAAAGCTAGAAGGTCCTGGATGGAGGTACTGCAAAAACTAAGAGACCATGGATGCAAACCCAAACTACTATACCCAGCGAAGCTATTATTCACTATCAATGGAGAAAACAAGACATTCCAAAATAAGAACAAATTTAAATAATACGTAGCCACAAATCCAGCCATACAGAAAAATAAAAGAAGGAAAATCACAACCTAAGGAATCCAGCATTGCCAACACTGCCCACAATAACTCTGGCATCTAGCGAACCTTCACCAGCACAACTCAAAGAAGGGAAACACACAAACTCTACTACCAAAAACAATAAGAATAACCGGAGTAAACAACCACTGGTCATTAATATCACTTAATATTAAAGGCCTTAATTCACCCATAAAAAGGGACAGGCTAAGAGAATGGATACGAAAACAGGATCCAACATTCCGCTGTTTGCAAGAAACATATCTCAACCACAAAGACAGGCATCTACTCAGAGTAAAGGGTTGGGAAAAGGTCTTTCAACCAAATGGTCCTAAGAAAAAAACCAGTGTGGCCATACTAATTTCTAACAAAACTGACTTCAAACTAAAGTCAATCAGAAGAGATCGAGATGGACACTTTATACTCATAACAGGAACAATTCATCAGGATGAAGTCTCAATCCTGAATATCTATGCCCCTAATATAAAAGCACCCACATATGTAAAAGAAATATTACTAGAACTCAAGGCAGACATCAAACCACACACACTAATAGTAGGAGACTTCAATACACCTCTTTCTCCAATGGACAGGTCAATCAGACAGAAACCTAATAGAGAATTAAGAGAATTATTGG